TACATGGGCGTGTGCAGATGGGTGTCTAGGATGGTCACCAGGATGAGGACCCCGTTGCCCAGCAGGATCACCAGGTACATCAGCAGGATGAGCAGGAAGAAGGTTTTCTCCAGCTTTGGGTGAGCAGAGAGGCCCAGGAGAATGAAGCGGGTCACGGGGGAGGTCTGATTGTTACTCTCCATTCTGTGTGGTCTCTGTCAACTGAAGCCAATACTTCGCTCCAAGCTGAACATTTTGCTTTGCTTTGGGTTAGGACATCAGGTCTGCAGTCCCAGTTTGGCAGAGTTATTAAAAGACAGCTCGGAAATCCCACAGCAGTATTTCTTTGCAAGAAAAAGAAGCAACAAAATCAATGGCAACAACTGGGTATTAAAAACAACAACATTACAAATCTGATGATTTAATGCATCTATCTGATCAATAAAATGACACACAAAGCATTGATTTTGTCCATGTTGTATCCTGTATGGCAATTCACCAGAGATTGTACTCAGAGAAGGGACTAAATATGTTTCGTGTTTCCCCTACTTTGTGTTAGAGACGTAGTAGTGGTCCCTGCCTTAAAAGTTCTCCTTCCCTCCCTTCTTCTCTCCCTCCCTTCCTCCCTCCCTCCCTCCCCTTTCCTCCTTCCCTCCCTCCCTCCCCTCCCCTCCCTTTCTTCCTGTCTTTCTTCCTCCCTCCTTCCCTCCCTCCCTTCCTTCCTTTCTGTGTTTGTGTATTTTGTTTGTCCATTTGCTTTTGTTTTATAGGTCTCATTCTCACTGAGGCTGGGCTCAAAATCATGACTATCCTCCTACCTCAGCATCCTGAGTGCCGGGATTACAGGTGTGGGCCACCACACTTGCCAAAACCATTGCTTTGGTCTGGTGCCTTCTGAGAGAAAACACACTCAGTTACTCTCCAGGTTTCCTGTAACACTAACCCCAGGCCTTTCTGCCAATTGGAATCGCTTATCCATGCATCCATCCTCCATTAATCTATCCAATATGTGAATATCCAGCCACAAAAATACTTGTTGACCAGCAAGTAGGTGCGTGTAACAGTTGCTAAGAGGATCGTAATTGACCCATGGCCTGTGCTTAGGGGGATTCACTGCCTAGTAGAGGTGGGAAGCATAGGGATTCTGCAGAGGACATCAGTGGGAACTGGGCTCAGAGAAGCTCTCTTGGAAATATAGAACTCTATTGAGTCTTTAAATAGAAGGAAATGTGGTATCTAGAGAGAGATTGCAAAGGGGGAGCATTTTCCTAGGTGACGTTATACTCTGGAAATTCTAATATGTCCCTAATAGTTTGAATCTGGTGTTTCTTAAAGATAAACTGAGAAAATACATAGTATCTCACAATTTCTGGGATCCTAGTTCTTTTAGACAGGAGTGTGTGTGTGTGTGTGTGTGTGTGTGTGTGTGTGTGTGTGTGTGAGAGAGAGAGAGAGAGAGAGAGAGAGAGAGAGAGAGAGGGAGAGAGAGGGAGGGAGAGAGATTGCTAGGTTTCTTTTCCTTCTGGGTGGGCATCCTCACAGGTGTCAGTGGACAGAACAGTCCTCAAGACTTCTGATTCAGCATGTCACCCGGACCTCTGTTCCAACACTGACTATGCCTCTCAGTAATCTAGCTCAGCCTTCTCTCCCATTCTAGGTCCTTCCCTGAACAACACTGGAGCTCTGCCTTGCAGTTCTGGCTTGGTTTTTGCTGGAGGGGAAGAGCTCACTACATTCTCAGTCAGCCTGCTCTATGTTTGCTGAGCCCCTGAACAGCAGAGGATTCTCCACATGGAAGGAGCCAGCATCCTTCTGGGTTGCTCTCACTCATGGGTAGCGTCCATCTCCTCCTTAAACTGCCTGAGTCTGTGGAAGGTCACTGTGAGATGGGACCATCTTGGATATGGGTCAGTCTCTCAAGCTGGTGAACCCATGAACTCAGGCTGACAGTCCTTGTAAGTCTCTTGACATTCAGGGTTTTCAGCTTCAGGAAGGGGGTTCAGCCTGGTCCCCAGTCTTGGTGATGCCACTGAGACTGCTTCGTTTATTCCCTTCTCAAACTCAGTCACTGTAGAAAGTCAGATGCTAAAAATGCCGATTGGCTAATGAAAGGTTGAGGTTGGTTTTTACAAGAATCCTTACTTACCTTAATTAGAAACTGCTGAGAAGGGGTGCCTGAGGCTAAGGTACGGTGTCCAGGCTGGAAATAGTAGCAGTGACTTAAGGGGCCCAGGCTGAGACGCCACTTCTGATTTGGAGAAAACACTCCAAGTTTGCCCTCCCACTTGGTCTCCTTCTGTTTCAGGTCGTGTCCCCTAATGAGCGCCACTACACGGGGGTGTTGATTCGAAACCAGCGCCGTACGTGGAACTCTGTACTCCCTGAAGTGATTAAAAGTTCAGAAATGGAAAAGCACAGTCAGGAAACTTCTTAACCCTTTGGGACAATGTCCCCAAGATCCAATTACACCGAAGCCCTCCCGGAGCCTCCTCTTTCCACCGCGCCTGCTGGAAACTCCCAGTCTTGCCGAGGGTCCTCTGGGTAGACACACGCCAACTCCTCGCCTGAATTTCTGCAAACTTCAGTTTGGCTAAATGTCTTTGAGAAGAAGGCGGGGAGGCAGTCTCCAGGGCAGCCCCGGCCTGGAAAGGAGTTAGGCTTCAGTGTTGTGACCCAGGAGAGGCAGCACACCAGGCCTGTGACAGAAGTAGCGTGCCATTGCCAGATCTGGACCTCGGTGGACCTCACCGGGCCAGCAGCAAGAGAGGAAACCACCTGATGGCCTCTTGCACCACAAATGGGCAGAGACCAAGAGGCAGAGAGGAAGGGCCCATGGGTCAAACCTTCACTGGAATCTGGGTCATTTCCAAGCAAGTGTACTATGAGATGTTCTAATGAGTGGGTCTAGACCTAGCAGGGTGCATGTTCTGTAGAGTTAGATTAGAGATCTGCCCAATCCATACAAGATGTAGGGATCAAGAGGTTAATCAGGCCGGGTGGTGGTAGAGCATGCCTTTAATCCCAGCACTTGGGAAGCAGAGGCAGGCAAATCCCTGTGAGTTCAAGGCCAGCCTGGTCTACAAGAGCTAGTTCCAGGAAAAAAAAAAGAGGTGGATCAGACCGCCTGCATGTGGTCCATAGCACAGCTAGGGACGGCCGCCTAGGAAAGACTTCGAGAAGGCGGCAGTGGAGTAGAAATTATGAGAAGGTAGACGAAGCTGTGCTTCTAGTATAAGAAAGTCAAACCCACCAATGCCGTCAATCCCAGCACTTGGGAGGCAGAGGCAGGCAGATCTCTGTGAGTTCTAGGCCAGCCTGGTCTGTAAGAGCTAGAGCTAGTTCTAGGATAGCCAGAAATGTTACACAGAGAAACCCTGTCTTGAATTAACAACAAACAAACAAGAATGCCAAATCTATGTTGAGAATAGACACAGGAATCACAGAACGATGCGCATGTACTAGGTTCCTTGTTACTACTGAGTAGTATTCTGTTGCACGGACACTCCAGGTTCATCTGCCCATCCTCCCTGCTGGTTATTTACATCCTGAGTCTTTATGAATAAAGCTATTGTTGACTGTCATAGACAAGTGTTTTGTATACCTTTATTTTTTTTCTTGGCTAAACACCTGGGGATGAGGTTGCTGGATCAAACCATAGACACACACTTAGTTTTTATAAGAACCTGGCAAGCCCTTTACAAAGGTGCTGGCCACAAGGGTGCTAACTGCACCACAGCCTTGCCAGTGTTCTCCGTTGTCAGTCTTTTAAGTTTTTGCTACCGTGGCCGGTGTAGTGGTAACTCACTGGGGCTTTAATCTTCATTTCTGGACCACAGAATATTGAGTACTTTTTTTTTTAATTTGGTAACTGGTTGCTCGTATATCTTCCTTTGGGCATTATCTACTTAGACCTTGTATGTCCATCATTCTCATTTCCATTGTTTTAAAAGAACACATTTTGTTCCTTATCCACTCTGCAATCTGACCTTCTTATGCTGTGTGAGCTGCACACGGCCTTCCAGGTTGTGGCTTATGTTTCTTTTGAGTTGGGGTCTTGCTGTGTCATCCAGGCTGGTCTGAGCCCTTCATCCTCCTGCCTCAGTGACACAGCATGCCTGGCATATGCACTCATTTTCATAATTGTGTCTTCTGCTGAACTGATGTCTTACGTTTTGATCAATCTTATCATTTTTTAGTCACTACTTTTGTAGTCATTGTTTTTCTCTAAGAAAAATTTGTCTACCCCTAGTCAAAAAGGTATTTTTTCTATGCTTTAAATTTCATAGTTTTAGCTTTGGTTTAGATCCATGATCCACCGTGAATTAACTTCTGTGTATTGTATGAGTTAGGAAGTAAAGATCATTTCCTCATATGACTACCTGGGCACCTAGCAACATTTACTTATTTTTACTTAGCAGGTTTTAATTTTTTAAATAATTAGTATACAAGCCAGGTATGGTGGCTCACATCCTTAATCATAGTGCTTGGAAAGCAGAGGCGGAAGGATCTCTGTGAGTTCAAAGCCAGCCTGATATACACAGGGAGTTCCAGACCAGCCTGGGCTATATAATGAGACCCTGTCTCAAAAAAAAATCAACATACCATGTATTAGATATTGTTATGGCATTTCCCAAAACAAACAAAACCAAAAAAATGTATTGTAGGGGATTCCTCCCACCTTCTTCACCCCCCTCTATCTCTATCCCACCTTTTAACCTCCCCCTAGTCTCTGCTCCTTTCTCATGTCTCATGGGTGTAATGGTCTGTCTTGTCCCTTTAAGGGACAAGCCCTGCTCACCCCTCCTTCTGCCAAGGCAAGCTGATCTTCCTTCCACTTCCAGCTCTCTCCCTGTCCCTGTGTCTCTTCCTAAGAGGTAACTTTCCCCCACCCCCTTCCTCTTCCCTTCCATAACCTACTAAATAAACTATACCCACTGTCTCTGCATGGTATCTATCTGTCTCTCATCCATGGTGGCTCCCCGTGGGACCGGCTGCCCCACCGACCTGCTGGGGTCTCTCACCCACCACCTCCCACCTGCCTGGAACCCACAAAGGCCTTGGGTGGCGGCACAAGCTGCCCATTTGCCCCTGCAGCCCCTTGGAGAACTGCACCACCGTTTTATCTAAGCCATAACAACTGGTCCTGCTGTTCAACCTTCACCCTTCCTCGGCACCTGCTTTTACTTTTTTCTCTAGCAGTTTT